ATTGGATAGCTTTCTGGTTCACTTTCAGCGATTGGATAGCCTCGTTCTGCAATTGGATAGCTTTCTGGTTCACTTTCTGCGATTGGATAGCCTCGTTCTGCGATTGGATAGCTTTCTGGTTTACTTTCTGCGATTGGATAGCCTCGTTCTGCAATTGGATAGCTTTCTGGTTCACTTTCTGCGATTGGATAGCTGGGATAGGGAGATGCAAATGATGTAAGACATGATATGAGGAGAGATAATATTATCAAGGCAGTGAAAATTTTATTTTTTAACAACATGTTGACGAGGAAGGATGGGAAGGGGTTATAGATTGCTTTCGTTTTCTTAAAAGAAATAAAAAATATTTGTTGATGAGATCCAATGATTGTTTCTCAAAAACTATTTTTTATTAATTTATTTTATTTTTTCAAGACATTAAAAAATCCACTCTTTTTATATTGCTTTCAACCACCTGGTTAATTTTTTTAAAATTAGAAAGTTTATCTCACATGTTAGATTATTTTTATGAGGGGCAATGAAATTGAACCGTCTTAACTGATGATTGATTTTACATGTGCCTTCAGTTATTTGACCAATAAAGTCGGAAATTAATTCCTGATATAGTTATTATTATTATTATGATTATTATTATTTCGAAAATCTGCGCTTTAATATTAATATTAATTGCAGTGGTGGCCAAATGAGGAAATGGAAATCTTGGGATTCATTCATTATTATTAACATTAATATTAAGGGATTTATTTTCCCATTCAACTTTAGAATTAATAATTGAATGACATAATAATAATTATTCGAAAAATATGACATATAACTTTACCAAAAAATTCAAGTGTTTTTTTTTTTAGTATTCTTGGACTTTTATTTATAATAAATAACTAGCATTGCGGTACGATTCTGAAAAAAAGGCGACAGGGATCTACTCTATTTGAAAACTTCAAAGGATATTAGACATTACTATGCGTAATTTATATTCGTTAATCTTAAGAATCGTAGAATTCCAGGTTCATTTCTTAATGTTTCTTTTATCATGACAATTAAATTACTCTCAAAATTGGTACAATAAATCCCATCCAAGGGTTTCATTGAGAAACACTTTCTTGTATGCTTGTTTTACTTCTATGGACAAAAAGAGATTTTCAAGAATAACGACGTAGGACGAAACCTTTGGTTTTGGCCATTAACGTAACTAAAGTATTGACTAATTTCTCACAAAGGTCCATTTAGACAATTTGACATGACAACAAGCAGAACATGATTAGTTGATTTTTTCATTTATTTGATAACGGCTCTAAAATAGCAAGTAAATAAAATCAAGCGAATATATTTATTATTCTTTAAAATAAAATAATTTCAATTAATGATTACGACAATACAAAAAAATTGATTGTAATAAAATACTTTATTTTTTATTTATTTGCTAATTTGTATTATTTGTATTATTTGTTTGGAATATTCTTGATTATTCAAATTATCAAATTCACGTTTCTTTTTATAAATAGTAATCTTTCTAGCGAGTTTGAGATCTTTTATAAGTTATTTGGTTTCCTGGATCTTTGCAAATATAACCAATGAAAGAGTTCAAATAATTTCGGATATAATTTAGTCTACTACCATTGCTGCATTAAATACACATTAAAAAGAAAATGAAAATTTTTAAAAAATACATTTATTTTATTTATATGAGTAAAGGTCAGCAATATATATTAATATTCACAAGATTAGATGAGCATCCTAATGTGTTGATAATGAAAACTTTTTTTGTGATCATTCTCATTCAATTCATCCCATTGAATAAATTACTGCCTTCTTAAAAAGAATATGCTCATGAAAGAGGTTCTATACCATAATGGATGGATGTCAGTCTCTAATACTAATAAATGATCATCACCGATAGAAGTTACACAGAATAAAAGATTTCCGATTTTTTTTATATGATAATAATTTAAATTATTTAAAATGGTGAAGTATAAATTTTTTTTGAGATTATTGTATAAAAATTTAAATCTAATTTATGATGGTGAATTTTTATTTTAGGTTGTCCTTGCTTCAGCAATATGTACCAAAGGAGGAAAGGGTAAAACAACAAAAAATAATACTTGTAATACTTGAATAATATAAAACCAAATTAATCATTATTATTATCATTATCTTTTTTTTTTAGCTGTAATTTCTCGACAATATCGTGAGATGCCATCTTCTCGAATTGAAGGATTGCTCGCATCATTTCCTAAATTGACCAGTTCGGGCCAACAGCACACAACAATAGAAACAGAAAATGTTCGTTATGTATATCAACCATTTGATGAATTGTATATGGTTCTAATTACAAATCGGCAATCCAACATCCTTCAAGATATCGATACATTACATTTGTTTGCACGTGTAGTATCAGATGTTTGCAGATCAACAGATGAAAGAGAAATTTTGAGAAATAGTTTTGAGTTGCTTAGCGCATTTGATGAGATTGTTTCGTTGGGATATCGAGAAAATGTTAATCTGGCTCAGGTTAAAAGCATTACTGAGATGGAAAGTCACGAAGAAAAAATCCAAGATATAATATCAAAGGTATAAATAAATAAATATAAACATATATATATATATGTGTAGGTATATGTAGTAACTTAATGTATTAATTAATTAATTAGAATAAAGAACATGAAGCCAAAGAGGAACTTAAAAGAAGAGCTAAACAATTGGAAATGCAAAAAAAAGAAATGCTCAAACGTGGTTCAAGTGGGGGTATTGGAAGTGGGGGTGGTGGCAGTGGTGGCATATCATCATTCGGAAGTAATTTTGGACAATCTATTAGTAGACCAGGATCTTATGCTGAACCACAAGTACAAGCATCTTTTGATGATGGTATTCGTTCTTCATATAATAGGTGTGATGTCAAAAGATTTATAAAAAGAGATTTATTATTATTAATGATATTAACATTTATTATAACTTGCATTATTTTTATCATCTTCATTAACAAAAAGCACACCATCAGCACCTAAGGCCAAGGGTATGCAGCTTGGGAAAAAACAAAAAGGTGCTGATCTTTTTGAAGCAGTTAAGAGTGAAGTTGGATTTGATGAACTTGGTGATAATGCAAAAGGAGTAATATCTATATCAAAAGTTCCAACAGAAAAGTATCTATATATATTTATATTTATCTTTATATTTATACAATGAATTTTATAATAAATAAATAAGTTTTACAAACAGTACTCTTTTCATTATTACAGTGTTCATTTCAAAATCTCCGAGAAAGTTTCTTTACAAGCAAATAGAGATGGGGATTTGGAAAATATGGAAGTTAAAGGAGATTTAGAATTGATTGTTTCAGATGCAAACATGTCAAAAATTAAAATATCGGTTCGTGCCACTGATAGTGACAATTTGCAATTAAAGGTATATGCATTTTGAATAAGACACATATTAATTATGAGGAATAGATTTTACAAAAACTTCAAGTATTAATAATTATTATTATTTTGATTTATTTATTGACATGTGTTAATTTGTGTTGTCTTTTTTTTAAATAATTATTATTATTTAGACACACCCAAATGTGGATAAAAAATTATTCTCCACTGAAAATATAATTGCTTTGAAAAATCCTGGAAAAGGATTTCCGGTTAATCATCCTTTGCCTGTTCTTAGATGGCGATTTATTAACAAGGACGAGGCCTTAATTCCATTATCAAGTACGCTGTCAATATTGATTATTTTATTATGATGAAGATGTTGTGAATTCTCTTCCTAATTAAATATTTAAAAATATAAAAAATAGTAAGTTGTTGGTCATCAGCAGCGGGAGATGGAACTATTGATGTTAATATAGAATATGAGTTGAAGGATGAAAATCGAGAACTTACAGATGTAGTAACCTCTATTCCATTACCGTAAGTTATCCATCATGAATTGATTATTTAATTAAACTAAATATTATTTTGGAAAAATTATAAGATTATAAAATTATATTATCATTTTTTAGTTCTGGAGGAAATCCAACAATTGGAGAAGTGGATGGAGATTATGAGTTGAATCGTCAATTGAAATCTTTGGAATGGAAATTGCCTATCATTAATTCATCTAATAAGCAAGGAACTTTTGAATTTAATATTCCCGGTGATGATCTTAATGCATTTTTCCCTATGTCGGTAACTTTTATAAGTGAAAAATTAATTTGTGATATAGAAGTAAGTAAATAATTATTTATTTATTGTTTATTGTTTCTTTTGTTTTTATTTTCATCCACTTTCCTCATGATTAATATGACTTATTTTTTTTTAGGTTCTGGATGTTATAAATTCTGAAAATGAAAGTACTGTAACTTTTTCAGAAGAAAAATTGTTAACTGTTGAAGAATATGTTATTGTTTAATATTTTTTTGACAATTATTAGAAATTTGTTAATATTAATAAATAATATGTCAGGTTTGTATAATTATGAAAATCCTTACTATTATAATCCAATAATCTAATATAACATGTGGGATAGGCTATTTTAAAACATCGACCAAATGTTGGAAACCAGTGGATTTTCAGCATCTTGAAAAAAATAAATCAATAAAATAATCAATAAATTAAATTAAATTAATAAAACGAAAACAATCATTAAGTCAACCAATTCAACTATCAAACAAATTTTTTTATTTCTTTAAAGAAAACGAAAACAATCCATCTTCCTTAACTCATCAATATGTTGTTAAAAGTAAAAGTTTTCATTACGACTTATTCCTCCTCGTATTCTGTCTTACATCTTCCTATCCTATTGCTGCCACGAGTGATAAAGCCGTTGCCAGTTTTAGCAAACTCAAGGGCCAAGTTACATTTCATTCAAATAATCAATGCTGTCGAAGCCTGTGGACAATTCCATGCAGGCATCACAAGTACTGTTACTGATTATTGGGTGTGCGACATTCTAAAAAAATCAACGTCTTACGGTCAAAGCTCTCTATACCTACCAAACTCCCTGGATCGCTATTACTATAAAGTGTCAATCATTATCACATGATCATTGATTATGAATAAAAATTTGCTATGTTGCCCACAAAAATATATAAAAATCCTTTTTTTTTTTAAATATAAAAATCAGTTTTACTTGTTAAGCTTTTTTAATTATTTATATGTAATAGTTATTCCCTGTGTAGCAGGGTATAACAAGGGTTTTCCATGGGAAAACCCTCTTGTTATATCATCTGAATAACTGATTTATTTCCTGGATCTCAAAAAAAATGTCAGGATCGATGCGACTAAAATAAACTTTTTTAATAAACT